TTCTGATTCTGCGTGGTTTTGATGAAAACTAGATCAGAGAAAACCTGTGGACATCGAGAGTAACATTTCCAAACTACGTGTCTCGCTTGCAATGTGGCGGACTTCCAATCATATTTTATTTTTTAAATGTAGAACCGCATTCAACGTCAAAAGAGATTTTCCATAATTTTTTTTCTCTGTGTGAGGCGAATTCTGTGAAAACTTCAAGGAAAGGTGCTGATTTTCTCTCCTTTAAAAAACTAAAATAGGAGGGAGATGTTCAGAAACCGCGAACGAGATACGTGGTTTGGGAATTTCACCGCCGATGTAGAATATTTTACCCTCTCCAGAAAGCTATCCGTCAGGCTTTATCTCCACAGGACGTTTCATGGGATTAGTCAAGAGAATGAGAAATTTTATGAGTTTAAAGTAACATTTAATGCAATCGGTATTGTTAAATAGATGAATTTCCTTTCCGACGACTGGATTTCAATAGAGACGATTGTCAAGGGTGAACTAAAGATATTTAGAATGAGAGAGAGAGGGAAGAGAGAGGTTTCACGGAGAGCTCAGATTCATAGACTGGAGCTTTGCAACTAATAGACTACAGGTAACATTTACTCGTAGAAGAAAACCTGCTGTGTCCTAAAATTAAACGGCGACCGCATTTACATGAAGAAGGACGTCCAACTGTTACAATACGTTGGGTCTGAGAGCCGTTTTTACGAGTTGGGAATCAAAGGTCCCGAGGGCTGATTATTGATATTGATAGACATAGCGATAGACAAAGAAGAAATAGGGAGTATGGAGTTATCCTATTGGTTGAAACGGGTGGTTGTTATAGACTGTAGGGGAAAATGACGGACGAACTAAAGATCTCTTGTCGGTTGCCGCTAGTTAGTATATCGCTAACCACCTTTGAGCATTGCAACCACCCGCTTCTGCCAATAGGCTTGCTTCACTTCCCCTATGTCTTCTTTGTCTATAGCTTTGTTTATCAATTTTAATAATCAGCGTGCAGTCTGGATGAAACCACAGTTGCCAACCACCAATGCGAGTATATATTCGCATTGGTTACGAACGTAAATGTTCAAAATTTACAGCTCTAGAGCAACGATGCAAAATAAGTCTGTAAAAACGGCCTTTAAACCAGCGGCATTTTTCAGTCAAGGATTTGGCTCGTTGATGTCCTTACAAAGAGGACTCTAAAAAAAGGACCACGAGATTACAAAAAGTTTGGGACATATTTGATACTAAAACCCACGAGATTTTGACGGCGATATTTTTTCAACTTTGATTGCATTTTCTCTTTGACTTCCGCCGTGCTATGTGATTTGGTGCGCATAAATCTCGATTTTTGCGAACTATAAATTGGGAATCTACGGAGATTCCTCCCTGCATGAAAAACCAAAGAAACAACCCGAATTCCGGTTTTCGATTTTCCTAGATTTTTCGTTGCTTCTCTGGCGTACAGCGACGTATCTCATTTTCAGCATGATCTTCATAAAGCATGGATTTATATGTAAAACAGGGCTCACGTCGAAATTAAAATACGCCCTTACGTCAGAGTAGCATGCGATAGTAGCGAGTAACATGAATTGCGGTAGTTAGCAGGAGATGATGTTTCATTTTTTTTCAAATTTGCCCTTTTCTGGATTGTTCAACAGTTAATAATGTCTTGTTGCTAAAAACCTGAACTTGTTAAACATGCATGCCAAATTTTGGGTTGTAGAAAGTCACTATCAAAAATGAAGAAAAAAACTTTTAAATGCTGAACTTCGGCCAATTTCTACCTCAATCAGGGTCTGAAGGCGCTAGCCCAATTTGGAGTATTTCTTCGAGAGAAGGATAGGTACTACACGACGACATCTCATTGTGCGCCGAAATAAATATATTGAAATTGGTTGAAGAGGGAGAGAGAACCTAATGCTGTGTTGGTCGGTTTCAGAAACAAACCGAGGTTAAGAAGTGCTTGCTTCATATTGAGGACAAAAGTTACACTGAAATTAGCTGTAGTTTATTTTAATTGAGTAAAATCGAAATCAGAGACAAGGCAAGCACATTCAGCATTAAGACACAGCATAAATTTTACTTACATTAGATCCTCGGGTTCCCATGAAAGACTATGACGGCAACATCAGTTATCATTAAAAACAAACGTGGTGCTATATCCTCCCATAACAAGTTATATTCTATACAGTTTTTGTAATTTTATACATACAATACAATGCTCAAGTGGTCAGAGAGGTAAAATTATCGAAAAATATGTAAAAATTTAAAAACCCCAGTTTGAGGGCATTTGTGGGGGTGAAAATACCCGATTTCTGGATGGATAAATATTCAAAATATACACGACTAAATTAGAAAGGGCTCTTTGGCACCCCAGGTTCGAAGTATTAGAGGTCGTTCAATCTGATCTATGCCCATAAAAAGTGGAAGTCCCATGACCCCATAAGTTAGTTACACTGGTCATAAATCGTGTTTGTTTTTCTTATGGTTGAAACTCACATGTTAGTAAAAAATTGTAAGAATTTACGCAAAGACAAAGTTCCTGCGTTCAAATTCAAAGGAAATGTCGATTTTTAAAACCCCACGATTGACTCCAGCCACCGAGGTAGTGTAGGCTATGCTTTTTTTTACCACCTTGGGTTCATTAGTGATGTATGTGTAACAACAAGTGCACATACGTGAATAAATTGATGCATCTAAAATGGAAAATACCACATATATATAAATGCTACGGATGAAACCAACTATTCCGTGTTCTTATGTAAACGCCTCATTACAATATTTGCCGCAGGATATTGCCATTTTGATAGATTTAATTATTGGTTTTTATTAGAATTTCAGAACTATAAATACGACTGTATCACCAGCGCAACCAACCTATTGAGACCCATAAAAGCAAGCGTTTTATTGTGAGCTCTTGCTTTTATCTGGCGTTAGAAAACCCATAAATTTCCGACTTTCTGATGAGCACTGCTATACAAAGTAAAGGCGCTATGACTCCATTCTGAATAATGATTTTAGATTTTTTTCTTCATAAAATTCTCGAATGCAAGAAAAGTAACAAACCATTCTCTCTATTTTCAGAATCACAGTGATATTCAGAGAGAAACTTCAACTGGAACAATGAGGCACATGGTGAGGGGAAGGAAAACCTCTGTTCTACGAACGGACAATTTCAGCGAGCACTTTATGATTCAGAGAATCGGACCCGCAGTCATAGAAACCGACCTTTGGTTTGGCGAACCGAAGGGTCAGTTCAAAGACTCAAAAGCTCGGGTCGCCGAACTATGAAACTTCGATAGATATCAGGCATGTTTCATATAAACAATGGTTTCCGAGTGTGTTGAGCTGAGCCTTGGTTCACCGAAATGAAGATAGGTTTCGTTAATTAAAGAGGTAGGTTTACACGACTTCTCAGTCGTTTCATCCTCTGAACGAAAAAGCACGTGTTAAATTTACCGGTTCGTAAAATAAAATTTTTCTTGCCGTGCATAATGGTGATGAAATTTTTCCACAATAACACATAACAGTGGTCAAGACTTTTTTTTTAAATTTGCAAAAAATTTGGTAACTGGCTCCTGGTATTTTAGCGCTAATTCCGAAAATTGCCTTCAATTCTCTGTGTCAGGTCTATTTCCCCCGGAAGAAGCTGAATTTTCCCGAAAAATCGAGTATTTCTAGAGAGCATTCAATTTCTTTGGGAATCTTAGCGCAAACGAGAAAAACCATTTTTCATATTTATGGATTTAGCAACCAAAAATACACAAGAGATTACGTATAGGATGCCTATTACATTTTTTCACTGTTTCCAATTTAGTAGCATGCAATACTTATTTTCCTATGAATTTTTGATTGTTAAAGCCGAAAATAACCTCAGTTTTTCTCCATTGTGCTAAACAATTAGACTTCCTCTGAAAAACTCGATTTTTAGGGAGAATTCCGATTTTTCAGAGGGATATTGAACTTTTCTAGGAAAACAGACGTCGTTTTTGGAATCATCTAAAATACCATTCGGAATTCATTGTCAACTTTATAGCAGACCAGCCCGTGTTGACCAGTCTTATGTATGGAGGGAAGGGGCGAAATCTGGAATGGAGTCAGGGCGTGCTTCCTTCGAATAAGAGATTAGACGACCAACCCACGCTGCCGTGATAGGGGAAAATACCGTAGAACATTCGAGAGTTGCGAAATTTCCCTGGATAAAACATGTACTTTGAAAAAAAGAACTCCGGCCGTGGAACCCGTACATACGGGCCAACGTTTCGGGCTCAGAGGCCGAGAGCTCCGGGTGTAGCACCAAGAGCAGTCAAAGCTACGGCTCCAACACCCAGAACTCTCGGCCTCTGAGCCCGGAACGGACGGTGCATCTGTACAGCCTGTAGCTTTTTTTCAGTGTATCTTTGAGAGAAGTTGTGCATATCTTTCTTTGAAATGTTCAGATATTTCGGATTAAATAGCGAGCAAAACAGCCAAAAAAGTTTGAAGGAAAATATCCACAATTTTTCTGGTAAATTTGGTTTTTATTGAGGAAAATTTGGCAACGTCCGAAGGCTCATACGGCGTTCTTCCTTGGGACGTAAAGCCTGTGTTCCACGATCAAATAAACCTATCAAATACTCATCAAATGCAATATGGCGACTGGTTTTCGCGCAAGTCCGCTATCAAAAGTTAGCGGGCCGTCAAATGTTGATGAACCCGCCATTTTGCATTTGATTAGAGTCCCTTTATACTGAGAATCGAGACAACATCCCTGCATGAAGTCACAAACGGGAATAAAGATTACAGAAATTGAACGTTTTTTGTAATCTTTGATCGGCCCATTCTCAAATTCCTTTCTATTCTCCGTTCCTTCTCTCATTCCGTTTGTTCCTTGTCGAACCCGTAATTTCTCGGTCCATTCCAGATTATAATCTTTGCAATCGGTGAAAATGTAATCTTTATTCCCGTTTGTGAAACTGTGAAGGCCTAAAATACGGGAACCAATCAGAAATGGATTTACATTGTCTTGACTCTCAGTATAGAGGGAATCTACATTTGATGAGTATTTGATGGGTTCATTTGATCGTGGGACACGGGCTTGAGCGCGGGTGTGAGACTCGTTGGCGGGGGGCTTAGAGCTGGGCCTCGGATCATAAGGAGCTGCCGAACTGGCTGGAGCGGCGGCGGTCGACGTGCTTGAAGTAGGTGTCGGAGTGGATGCTCCGGGTGCTGCGGGCCCGATCGCGGTCGTCGTAGCCGGAGGCGGGGGCGTAGGTGAGGGAGGCGCGGCGAGCGTCCCGGTCGAGGGCCTCCAGGTCGGAGGGCGGCCGCCGGCAGAGGGAGCAGAAGGCGCACTGGAGGGTGTTGCGGTAGGCCTCCCGGAAGTCCCGGTTGAAGTAGGCGTAGATCACCGGGTTCAGCGTCGAGTTGGAGTACCCGATCCAGAAGAACACGGCCACCACCCCGTTCGAGAAGTGACACGGGTCCCCGCAGATCGAGGTGATCACGTACCTGGAGGAAAGAATCCAAAGCCAAGTTAGTCTTCCTCGAGAGGGTAAGGATTTGTGATCGATTCAACCGAACAATCATTTGGGCGTATTTCTGCCAAACGGAACTTTGCAGGGGACGAGTCTATGACACGTGTGAGCTTATAATCCGGAAAAATCAAAATCTTGGCTGATCCTAATTTCGTGATATCGAAATATTTGAAATATCCCTATTTGGAAATTTTCATGGTAAATGCAAGTTTTCTACTGATTCTAATCAGGTTTTTATCTATTTGTCCATTGAATCGGCGTTGATCGGTTTCTCGTTTTTATTTTTCGTTCGATTCATATCGATCGAATACATACCTGATCTTTACATGCAGGCTACCTATCATACTCTTTTTTTTTGACTGAACAATTCGCCTTCAGCTGCATGCGTCTGCAGCAATTGTTGCTGCAAATATATGTGCGTGCTGATTGCAGCTCATTACATACTTGACGCTCTAACGGCGTTTTATGTGGGAAAGCAAATCGCCTTCAGTTGCGTCGGCAGCAATTGTTGTCGTTAATATGTTGTGCGTGTTGATTTCAGCTCATCACGGACTTGACTTCTGAAGGCGTTTTATATGCGCAAGCTGTCGTGGTACGAACGAAGTAGGGATTGAGGGATTCGTTCAACCTCACTTCTGGTGTTCTCCAACAGGGTGCTCTACTTTCGTACATCAAACGCCTTCAGAGAGTCAAGTATGTGATGAGCTCGGCTCAGCACGCACACCATATTCATAACTACAATGCTGCGGACGTAGCTAAATGCGAATTGAAAACAACCGTACAATACACGTTGAAAAACATTTTAGACCTTTAATTCATCATGTTACCAATGGAGAGTTGGTCTTTTTATGGGGGATTCTTGACAAACTTCTCGACATAAACTACACATAAATTAAGTTAAGACATAAATTTAGTCCTTTTGGCACTAAAATTGACTAAACTAGCTCATAGCATAGAGCATCAGAGAGTTTCCCGTGGAAACCTTAAAATTCCCTAGGGAACCCATAGGGATTCCATGTTTTCTTTTCCATTTCCATTGGGTTAACCCATTTCCGTAAAAGTAGCTATCCTGAAAATTTTGCCTCTGTGGGCGAAGGTCCATGTTTCCGAGGGTCACTCACTGAGAAACAATTGAAAGCGACTTACCACAAGAAAAAGGGGAGCCAACAGAGCATGAAGGTGCCCATTATTATGCCTAACGTTCGGGCTGCTTTGTGCTCTCTCTTCATTTTGATGAAGCTCCCGTCTTTCGTCGGGGTCGAATGCACCGCCCCGACTTCATTGACGGTCAAGTTTTTGCTCGAACCGCCGCTATTGCTTAATACATCTCCTGAAAGCAAGGCATCACAGTTGAACAATAATATAGTACACTATCAAAATTATCCACATGGATGAAAAAGATCGTTGCTTTTAAGGCGCTTATAGTGAAATCCAGGTCCTAATTGCGATCTCAGTCGCAATTACGGCATTATTTTGTGGAAAAATTGTTCTGGACGAGGATTCAATTGGATCGTATTTTGCAACAAAAAGGAATAGTCCGAGAGCCAGACGACTTTGAGTGACAAACTCGGGATACATGTTTTGACCCCCTAAATCGATAGCCTTGCATGCACTGAAACGGAAAATTTTTGTCTGCCGCCCACTAGCCTGTGCCATCACCCTCATCTAGGCCCTCAAAGTGGTCCAAAAAACACCATCTGGTGACAAACTCCTGACGCT